TGTATATATATATATATACACACACACATACATATACATACACACACACATATATATGCACATACGTATATATGTACATTATATGTATATTTGTGATACATATGTGGAAAATATATATATGGAAGAGTGCTGCCATAAAAAACAATAAATAAAACACTTAAAGAAACTCAAGGAACAGAGAATGGCTTCAAGGTCTGTGCAGTTAAAGAGCAGCAAGGTTAGGTAAAACATTTGCTTAGGACTGTAAAGCACTTTTGCAGTCATGGTCTCATCTGGATGATTTTTTTTCATTCTCACAATAATCGTGTGAGCTGGAACAGGATAGGGATCATGGATTCCCATTTTCTGGTGAGCAAACTGAGGCTTAGAGTAGCTAATGGACCTGCTCCATGTCACACAGATGGCTGAAATATGATTAAAAACTCATTTGACAAAATCCAGTGCCCTGAGTCCATTTCCTCTAGGGTCACCAGGTAGGCAAACTGCAGTTCTGATCAGCGTGTGGGCAGATAAAGAGGTGGAGGTGTCAGATGCACAGGTAAGGGTTTTCCAAAGTGTGATGTGCACACCACCGTGGTGCAGTGTGATTAGGTAGGCCACAGATGAACACTTTTCAAACTAATACCAGGTGGTTATGCACTTCAGTGTTCATCAGAAACATCAAGCCTGTGATTTTGTGGATTTCTCAGGCAAATCTAAATGGAAGTGAAGATAGAGTGGATAGAGCGTTGGCCTGTGGACTGAAAAGTCCCGGGTTCGATTCCGGTCAAGGACACATGCCTGGGTTGCGGGTTCGATCCCCAGTAGGGGGCGTGCAGGAGGCAGCCAATCAATGATTCTCTCTCATCATTGATATTTCTATCTCTCGCTCCCCCTTCCTTCCTCTCTGAAATCAATAAAAAAATATATTTTTAAAAAAGATAGAGCGTCCATGTAAGGAGTAATTTTAAGTAACAGAGCAGGTAGTGTGCAGTGCGGCAGAATGTCTGCTGGATGCCAAGGACCGCCGCTGGGAGTCACGGGCCCAGTCGTGTTGACTGGTCCTTTTATGAAGACCCAGGGCTACAGAGAAAAGGGTGACTCAGCCGGCAGACCCCCCAGGTGCCCTCAGCTGCTCTAGTGCTGGGTGGTGCGAGTTGATCCAATGCAGACACTGACTGTGATGCTAACAAGCCTCTTGGATCTTGCTTTCTTTGTAGATTGCTGACTTTGGGCTTTCCAACCTGTACCAGAAGGACAAGTTCTTGCAAACGTTTTGTGGGAGCCCACTCTATGCGTCTCCTGAGATTGTCAATGGGAGGCCTTACCGAGGGCCAGAGGTGAGCAGGCTGCCTGTTGTGTATGGCGGGGCGAGTGGGGGTGGGTTGGGGGGAGAAAAGGCCAGAGGGCAAAGAGCTTAATCCAGAAAATACTTTAAAAAATACCCCAGCAAAATAAGCAAAGCAAACTTTTCCTTATATGATTATAAAAGCCATAACACACACACCTGGGAGAAAAATAGAAAAATCCAGAAAAACCTAAAAGAGAAAATAAAGTTACCTGCAATCTACCCGTAAAAGATAACCAGTTAGTATTTTTGTGGCTTTTTAAAAGACCCTTTTCCAGTGTAAATCTCTGCATTTCAAAAATTGAGTCGTGGCTTGTGTGGCTCAGTTGGTTGGCCATCGTCCTGAGCACCTAAAAGTTTTCAGTCAGGGCATGTGCCCGGGTTTCCGGTTCAATCCCTGGTAGGGAGCATGCAGGAGGGAACTGATCGATGCTCCACTCTCATACACATATTTCTCTCTGTCTCACTCTCTCTTCCCTCTCTAAAAGTCAATAAAAAAATCTTAAAAAATAATTGAGGTCCTTGTATATGTATATATGTATGTGTGTGTGTGTGTGTGTGTATTTTATTAACTTTATATTATGACATTTTCTGAATTTGTTATTAAAAACATAGTTTTTAATGACAACACAAAGTTTTATTGTAGGAATAAACATACTGTAATTTAAACACTCCCCAAGATTTAGACAGTCAGATTACTTTCAGTTTTTCCTCATTATAACGAAACAAGAAAACAAACATCAAACCGAAAACCCCTTAGCTCTGGGAATGACTACCTTTTCGCAAATAATTTTGACAGCCTGTATTTTTTGATTAAGGAAATACATTTTAATTGTATCTTTGAACTCATGAGCAATGCACGGCTCTACATGCCTAAGGCTTTTTGGGGGCCATGTGTTAGGTGGAAATGTTATTTTAAAAGCGGGTGGCTATTTTTTGTGAGTGGCTATTTTCTTAAAAAAAAAAGATGGTTCTCTTTACAGAGAGATTTCATCCACTCAGTATTCTTTAAATAGCAGCTGTTCGCTGGGTTGAAATGTTTCCTTCCAAATATTTATCTGTTTGAGAGTGTTTGGGGCAGGGCTGGAGGCGGAAGAGAAGGATGCCAGCAGCCTCTGCCAACGACAGTGCAGGGAAAGTCTTTCTGAAGTAAGAATGTAAGGGAGGAGCACAGGATTCCATTTATGAAACTGCAGAAACTCGACACTGTAAATTTATCATAGACAATGAACGCCCCTTTGATCTTGGAGGATCTCTTTCCGAGGTTACAAGCTGGCAGCCTGTGAACCGGCCAGCAAGCGTGCTTTATTTGGCCACATTTGTTTTTCTAAAAAAGAAAAAAAAATATTGAACACACATTTAATAACTGGGAGAGTTCACATATAAGTCTGGTTTCTGACTTCTCTTGGAAAAAAACCAAAGGATCGAGCCGTGCGGGGTCTGTGTGTCGCTTTGAGGCCGCAATTAGCCAGGCGGGGGCTGCCTGCTTGAGATGGGTGAATGGACTGCACGGTTTGTCTCTGTCCCCAACACTCCACGTTGGTCCCCCAATTCTCTCTTGCTCCGTTCATGTTTGTTGTCTGCCTGGCTCCTGTACGCATTTGGGTTTGCCCCCCGATCCATTTGAAGAAGGTACAGGAAGGAATGGATTCCTGGGTGAGAAGCCAAGAGTTCTGTGTCCCAGGCTTAACCTCCGTCACTGGGGCGAGGCCTCTCGAGAAACCATGGAGGTCTTTTGTGCCTCAGTATTCTCATCTGTCAAGTGGGGGGTGGGTGAAAGTCATCCAGACCCTACCTATTTCACAAAGTTAGAGTGAGGATCAAAGCAGACAGTCTGTTTGAGAAAGTTCTTATGTGGGCTGGGACTGCGGGGGCTTGGTTTGAAGTGGAAATGCCCAGCTGCACTGCGTATCAGTTGTCAGGCTGCCATGGGAACCTGTCTGCCAGGTGCTAAACTCAGCTCTGGGGTCGCTGGGGGTGGCTGCTCCCATGCTGTGATGCTAATGGTCTGGAAGGCATCCGGAATCGGCTTCCCAGCTCCTATATGTCCTGTCTCTCTGCTCCAGGTGGACAGCTGGGCCCTGGGCGTGTTGCTTTACACCCTGGTTTATGGAACAATGCCCTTCGATGGTTTCGATCACAAAAACCTCATTCGGCAGATCAGCAGCGGAGAGTACCGGGAGCCCACGCAGCCCTCAGGTGCGTGCTCGGGAGGGTCAGAGGTGGAGTGGGAGCTGCCTGAGCTCACGCTTTCTGCTTCTGTTTTAGCGTCTGGAAGGAGTCTCCTGCTTTTCCTCTTGATTCCCTCCAGCTCTTTGCTTTCTGGCAGAGCTGGAAGGCTAGGAGGAGTCCTGTTCACTTGCTGTGTGAACTTGGGCAAAACCCTGACCCTGTTTGGATTCAGTTTCTCCACTAAAAATTAAAAATTTGGAAGAGGTATTTTTGGTGTCTTCTGGTCCAGGTAGACATACAGACCACCCTGACGAGACTGTCATGAGCGTGGCAATGGCCCCTTTTCACCTCTGTGCCCTCAGGGACACTGTTTCATTATCTGTGGCTGCATCAGGGCTCTGTCCCATTCCCCAGACAACCATGTCACCATATCGATCACCTGGGTTGGCTAGAGCTCTGCTGGCCTTGCCGGAAGGGGTTTCTCCTGCAGCTGTAACCGATGGCAGCCGGGGCTTACTTGGGGACACTCCTTGTGGACTCTCTGTCCATGAGTTGCCTCCCCAGGCCTCTCAGTCTGGGAGGGAGCCTGCACTTCTTACGTGGCAGCTCTGGGCTCTAAGAGGGAGGAAGAAGAAGCTGCCAGGCTTTCTTAATGTCTGTGTTGGAAGCCAGATAAAGTCCCTTCTGCCGTCTCCCATTGGTCAAAGCCACCGAGGCCACAGGCTCTGCCTCTTGATGGGAGAGTGCCCTGCGTGTGGGGAAAGGGTGTGCCCAGGGGGCCATTTTTATACAGTTAACACAGGCACTTCATGTATATACATATATGTTCACACACGGGCACCCATAGGCGATTCTCATTATTCAGGTAGTGGCGTTCTGTAACGTTGCTGTGAGCACTGGTTAGTGAGTCCTGGAGCGTTGCTCCTCAGCGAGACACAGGGCTCGATTCCTGTGAGCCTCTGAAGTCCCCGTGCTTTTGTCACTGAACAGTAGGTAACCTTGTTTTCAACAAACCTTGTATGTTTCTGTTTAAAGATACCTCGCTTAAAATATACTGTTGATTCCTTATCATCAAAGTCATGGCCAACAGCCCTGTGATTCATGCCTGAACAAGCTTACCTGACACACATCACAGCCTTCTTGCCCTTAGGATCACTAGATAGCACTACACCTGGGGCAGTTTAAACAGCCAAATCCACAGAAGGTGCAAAAAATGTGAAAAACGTGGACTAAATAGGCTGAAAAGGACACTGGGTGAGTCATGAGCGCAGACACAACAAGCAGAGTGCCGTCCCCTTGTCGGACCTCAGCTGGGAACACACATGGGTGTTGGGCAGCTCGGGGTGTTGCCTCTCTCTACTGTACTCAAGTGGCCAGGAAAGCACCCTGAGCGCTGATGTTCAGGTCACACATACATTTTAGTGAGTAGGTGAATGTACAAGTACAGAATTTGTGAATAATGAGTATTGACTACTGCACATGTGTAGATAGATAAAGTCATATCTCTATTTTTTGTCAATAAGCCAACCTGGTTGAGAAATTTTTTTTTTTGGAGAAATTTCAGGGTGATCTCTATGGCGGTTTTACTTGCCTCACCAGCTAACGGGTTCCTGGCACATTACAGGAGTTCAGGAAATATTTGTGGAATGACAGAATGAACATCGTCCTGTCACTTTTCAGGGGTGGGGCTCACCCCTGACCCCCTTGCCAGGCCCTTGCCAGCTACTCATTAGCCCACATAAGTGACTGGGGGAGGTGGCGCCTCCCAGGACGTAATTCAGCCCCCATCGGGGAAGCACAGTTGATCTTTGAAGTCAGTGTGAAAGCTGTGAGAGGCAGCTGGTTCCTGTGCCTCCTCGACATCCCTTTGGGGCTTCCCCTTACCTCTCTGGCAGCAGAAATTTGCAAATGGAATTTGTCAGACAGGCAGTGAGCTGACAGCAGACAGATCAGCTCTCTGATCTGACAGCTCAGCACGCTATGGCTTATGTCAGAGAGGGAAAGGAGCTGAGCTCATGGGGTGTGGGCCTCAGAACCTGGCCAAGGACATTCGTGGGCATGGCCCCTGCACTTGGCCCCTGCACTGCCCAGGTGTGCCAGGTCTGAGCTCCTCTCCATCCTTCTCCGTCTTTCCCTCTCTGATGAGGAGCCTTTTTCTCACCATCTCGGCCCCAATTTCCTTGTCATCGCTACACACTTTCCTGATGACCCTGAGCACTGCGTGCTTATGCAAGCCTACGTCCGGAGGACTAAAGAGAGCCATAGTAATCTACAGCTGTGTTCCCTTTCGGTGAAATGACATTTACCGGAGGAGTAGTGGGGCCCTGCAGGGGTCGGGTCTGGATTCTTTCCGGGGTACCCGGCCTACACCCATAGGCAATTCTCATTCAGGTAGTGACGTTCTGTAACGTTGCTGTGAGCACTGGTTAGTGAGGCCTGGAGCGTTGCTCCTCAGCGAGACACAGGGCTCGATGCACCCATAGGCGATTCTCATTATTCAGGTAGTGGCGTTCTGTAACGTTGCTGTGAGCACTGGTTAGTGAGTCCTGGAGCGTTGCTCCTCAGCGAGACACAGGGCTCGATTCCTGTGAGCCTCTGAAGTCCCCGTGCTTTTGTCACTGAACAGTAGGTAACCTTGTTTTCAACAAACCTTGTATGTTTCTGTTTAAAGATACCTCGCTTAAAATATACTGTTGATTCCTTATCATCAAAGTCATGGCCAACAGCCCTGTGATTCATGCCTGAACAAGCTTACCTGACACACATCACAGCCTTCTTGCCCTTAGGATCACTAGATAGCACTACACCTGGGGCAGTTTTAAACAGCCGAATCCACAGAAGGTGCAAAAATGTGAAAAACGTGGACTAAATAGACTGAAAAGGACACTGGGTGAGTCATGAGCACAGACACAACAAGCAGAGTGCTGCCCCTTGTCAGACCTCAGCTGGGAACACACATGGGTGTCGGGCAGCTCGGGGTGTTGCCTCTCTCTACTGTACTCAAAAACAGCCAAATCCACAGAAGGTGCAAAAAATGTGAAAAACGTGGACTAAATAGGCTGAAAAGGACACTGGGTGAGTCATGAGCGCAGACACAACAAGCAGAGTGCCGTCCCCTTGTCGGACCTCAGCTGGGAACACACATGGGTGTTGGGCAGCTCGGGGTGTTGCCTCTCTCTACTGTACTCAAGTGGCCAGGAAAGCACCCTGAGCGCTGATGTTCAGGTCACACATACATTTTAGTGAGTAGGTGAATGTACAAGTACAGAATTTGTGAATAATGAGTATTGACTACTGCACATGTGTAGATAGATAAAGTCATATCTCTATTTTTTGTCAATAAGCCAACCTGGTTGAGAAATTTTTTTTTTTGGAGAAATTTCAGGGTGATCTCTATGGCGGTTTTACTTGCCTCACCAGCTAACGGGTTCCTGGCACATTACAGGAGTTCAGGAAATATTTGTGGAATGACAGAATGAACATCGTCCTGTCACTTTTCAGGGGTGGGGCTCACCCCTGACCCCCTTGCCAGGCCCTTGCCAGCTACTCATTAGCCCACATAAGTGACTGGGGGAGGTGGCGCCTCCCAGGACGTAATTCAGCCCCCATCGGGAAGCACAGTTGATCTTTGAAGTCAGTGTGAAAGCTGTGAGAGGCAGCTGGTTCCTGTGCCTCCTCGACATCCCTTTGGGGCTTCCCCTTACCTCTCTGGCAGCAGAAATTTGCAAATGGAATTTGTCAGACAGGCAGTGAGCTGACAGCAGACAGATCAGCTCTCTGATCTGACAGCTCAGCACGCTATGGCTTATGTCAGAGAGGGAAAGGAGCTGAGCTCATGGGGTGTGGGCCTCAGAACTTGGCCAAGGACAGCCGTGGGCATGGCCCCTGCACTTGGCCCCTTCACTGCCCGGGTGTGCCAGGTCTGAGCTCCTCTCCATCCTTCTCCGTCTTTCCCTCTCTGATGAGGAGCCTTTTTCTCACCATCTCGGCCCCAATTTCCTTGTCATCGCTACACACTTTCCTGATGACCCTGAGCACTGCGTGCTTATGCAAGCCTACGTCCGGAGGACTAAAGAGAGCCATAGTAATCTACAGCTGTGTTCCCTTTCGGTGAAATGACATTTACCGGAGGAGTAGTGGGGCCCTGCAGGGGTCGGGTCTGGATTCTTTCCGGGGTACCCGGCCTTGCCCATTTTATAAAGATTGGAGTTGATAGGAAGCCCAGTAGTCCATGACATCCCTTCACTCACGTGCAAACACGTGCCAGGCTGTGATGGCGAACTGGTCTGTGGTTCTAAGTTTTGATGAGGCTTTTGAGGTACAGTCTGGAAGACTTTGGCTAGCCCGGGGCTCCGACTGGAGTTTTTGGAAAGAGAGCGTGTCTCCTTAGCCATTCCTGGAGTGTCGTCCCTGTCACAAAGCTGGGGGCTCCCATTAAGGCCTCTTCCTTCTTGCCCCGTAGATGCTCGAGGACTCATCCGGTGGATGCTGATGGTGAACCCCGATCGCCGGGCCACCATCGAGGACATCGCCAACCACTGGTGGGTGAACTGGGGCTACAAGAGCAGCGTCTGTGACTGTGATGCCCTCCCCAACTCCGAGTCGCCGCTCCTGGCCCGGATTATCGACTGGCACCACCGGTCCACGGGGCTGCAGGCCGAGGCGGAAGCCAAAATGAAGAACCTGACGAAGCCGGGGGCCTCGGAGGTCATGCTGGAGCGGCAGCGGTCGCTGAAGAAGTCCAAGAAAGAGAACGACTTTGCCCAGTCCGGCCAGGACTCGGTGCCCGAGAGTCCATCCAAACTGAGCTCCAAGAGACCCAAAGGGATCCTGAAGAAGCGAAGCAACAGCGAGCATCGCTCTCACAGCACCGGCTTCATCGAAGGCGTCGTCAGTCCTGCCTTACCCCCTGCTTTCAAGATGGAGCAGGACCTGTGCCGGACTGGCGTGCCCCTCCCGAGCTCCCCCGAGGCAGAGGTGCCAGGTAAACTCAGCCCCAAGCAGGCGGCCACCATGCCCAAGAAAGGCATCTTGAAAAAGACGCAGCAGAGGGAATCGGGTTACTACTCCTCCCCGGAGCGCAGCGAGTCCTCGGAGCTGTTGGACAGCAACGATGGGATGGGCAGCAGCATCCCATCCCCCAGCCCCCCAGACACAGCCAGGGTGACTGTCCACAGCCTGTCCTGCCGCAGGAAGGGCATCTTGAAACACAGCAGCAAGTACTCCGCAGGCACCATGGACCCGGCCCTCGCCAGCCCCGAAATGCCCACACTGGAATCCTTGCTGGAGCCCAGCGTCTCCTCCGAGGGCCTCTCCCGGAGCTACAGCCGGCCTTCCAGCATCATCAGCGATGACAGCGTCCTGTCCAGCGACTCCTTTGACTTGCTGGATTTGCAGGAGAATCGCCCCGCCCGCCAGCGCATCCGCAGCTGTGTCTCGGCGGAAAACTTCCTCCAGATCCAGGACTTTGAGGGGCTCCAGAACCGGCCCCGGCCTCAGTACCCGAAGCGGTACCGGAACCGGCTGGGAGACAGCAGCTTCTCCCTCCTCACGGACATGGATGACGTGACTCAGGTCTACAAGAAAGCGCTGGAGATCTGCAACAAACTCAACTAGCTCCCCCGGGGTGCAGGGGTGGGTTGGGGGTGGGTACGAGGGAGGAAGGGAAGCAATGACTTGTGCTAACGAGCTGGTTACCTCTTTGCTGGCCACGATGATAGACTGAAAAAGGATTGGTGCCATCTCACTTGGCCAAGGTGGAAACCTTGAGCCAGCACCTAAAAGGGAGAAGTGGGCTCTCTGCCAGTCCTGTCAGCTGCCAGTCAGAATTTGGGTCCTAATTGGCATTGGCTTTATGGTACCTCCTAGAGGCCCAGCTATCGGGGGAGGTGGCATTGGCCAGCACTTAGAGGGTGGGAGGAAGGCTATGGAAGAGGGAGCATTTCCCTAGAAGTCATCCAAGTGCTTCTGGAGGAGGCATGAGAGAGACTGGAGACGTCTGCTTTGGGTGAGCTCAGAGCTTGCTCCTTCTCTCACATTAGCAAGCTTGGTCTGGTCTGATTGCATGGGGTTGGCAAGTAGATTTCAGCAACCTGAGTTTGAATCGGTGGTTGATTGATAGTGGCTGCTGGCTGTGCTGGTGTGAGTAGCCCAGGCACATGGGAAGGAGTGCTGTGATCAACTAGTCATGGCTGCCATGGGTATGGGAAGAGGGGCCGTAGCACTCATGCCATGTAGTTGCCATCCTTGACCTGGTTAAGCCCTGGGAATTAGGTTAAGGCATCCTGTGGGATCTATGTTATCTCTTAATGCTACTGGAGTGGCACTTGTCCATTTGCTGCTCTATCTTGAAGGGAAGATAGGGCCTTGATCAGAGAGAGGATGCTCTGAACTCGGCTAAGGTGATTTTTTGGCTTCTTCTCTGATGTCTGCCTTGCTCTTCAGCACAACTTCCCAAGGGTGGATGGGAAAAAGATGGTGGTGTCAGAGGTATAACAGAGCCTGGGACCCTCTGTGCTTTTTGTACAGATGAATGGAAACTGACCCGCACCAACAAGGGGGCAACTTGTCAATTTCTTTAACATCTCAATATTAACTGGAATGCTGCCTCTTGGGTTCATTCTCATCTGCATGAATGCTCTCACTTGGATGTGATACTGTCCATAGTCTCCAAGGGAGTAACTGGCTCACCCATTGACCCTGTCTAGTAATAGCAGACAGTTTCCCCATCCACCACGTGTGGAATCCTCAGAAGTAGGCAAGTTTGCTTGTAGGGAGTTAGTGTGTAGGTGGGATATTTGGACGAGGAAAGGAAAGTCAGGCAGAAGGTGTTCCCCCCCCCCCCCCCCCCATCCACCACACACACACCATGTGTTTTTTAAAAAATTCATTTCTTCAACCAAGATTACTTTATCCAGCAAAGCTATCATTCAGAATTGAAGGTCATCTGTGTCATGGGTTTGAATGCCTAGGCTTTGAGGGCAAAGAATGTTCATCCATTCACATGAATAAGGTGTTGAAAGAGCAGAGTGGGCTGGGAGGAAGCATATGGAAGAGGAGACATTTCCCGGGAAGCCATCCAGATGGTTCTGGAGGAGGCAGAGAAGAGGTGTGATAGGACTCTTACCTTGAAAAGACACCCAGATTGCAGGTGACAAGACTGTCACTCCCACAATGGGACATCTTCAGGTACTGGGTTTGAAATGAATGGTCTTATTTGTGAATTTGGGATGACTTCAGATCCTACTCGCCTGGGGAAATGGAAACCCTTGTTTCAAGTTGGCCGACTTCGACTTCGGTAGCCACCTAGAGAAACAAGGAGGACTGGTTTTTGGAAGCATTTTTGGGAAAACCCACAAGCAATAGCTCGTGGGGAGATGAGAAAGAATTCACCGTAAGGCACGAAGAACATTTAACTAGAACAAAGCCACCCTTTCCCTAAGGAGATGGCGGCATTCCTCCCCTTTGCCACCGGCTCTGGGGTTTTGTCTCGTGTGTTCCTTCAGGTCCAGCTGAGTCATGTATTGTGGGAAGCGTCTCAGTTTCCTTGCATTCAATTCCACCTCCTTCCTGAGCTCCCATAAAGGTTCAAAGGGAAAAAGAAAACCCTGTAGGTGGCAACGGGTGTGTGGAGGGTCTGTGGGCGCATGGAGGGCATTCGGCAGCCTCTGAGCTCCCTACTCCTTATCTCGTTTTCCACAACCTTTTGGGAGCTCCCTGGTCTGCCACACTGCTGGTCCCCATGCATGGCAGCTGGCCTTGTGGGTAGCTGTCGGTATGACTTAGGTATAACACCTACCTACTGGTTGATGTGTTTTTTTTTCCTTTTGCCAAGTGATTACCTCGGTTTAGTATTTTCCAACCTTCTAATCTTTAAATAAAAACGACACTATTCAGAAAAACTATTCTCCTCCCCCAGCCCTTCAAAGAGAAACACACACGTATGTTCTCTGTTGTCAGTAAACCCAGACTGGATTGTGGCAAAGACAGTCCTCCACCCCGAGGCCGAGATTCTAGGTTGAGTCCTGGTGTGCTGCTAACTAGCTGGTGGCCTTGGGCACCTGCAGAGTTTGGGGGACTACGTTTCCCCTTCGGTGAGAGCTGGAGGGGTGGGTTAGCTGGTCTCTCAGGACCTGCCTAGTTCTGCTAAATCCTCTGATTCTAGATGTGATGTTGACTCTGCTTTTCAAGGAAAACCCTGGAAGAGAGGATAAAGCTCAGAAAAGCCACTTCTCTGCTTCCTGAGTAAGTCCTACCACCCCTATCTGCCAGTCCCCAGCCAAGCAGGTCGTGCTTGATTCGTTTCCACGGAATCACAAGTGAGAGACACTTTTATGACCCGGTGGACCAGGCAGGAGGTTGGATGTCAGCTCTCCTGGTCCTTCCCTTGCCTCTTGGGCCTTTCAGTGTCTTCGTTTACACATCTGCCAAAGGAATAGAATGATCCTTCTTTTTACAGGTAAATTTCAAAGGCATGATCAGTTTTCAGGAAGTGCTTCAAGACCCCAGGCGAAATGAAAAGGCTAAGAACTCACTGAATTTCCATCCCTGTTACCAGGTGCTGCTGCTTCAGACGACAGGGAGCACTTTCCAGGGTGGGATTCAGGCGAGGCTTGCCCAGGCCTGCTGTCTTGGGTACAAATGTGAATGATCGACTGACTGCTTATTGCCAAACTGGAAATGTTCTGTAGGGATTAACTGGCATGGTATCATTCCTAGAAGAAAAAAGAGAGAGAGAGAGAAACTTGACTGCACATTTTTTAAAAAAAATCCAAGTTGTGACTTTTATTTAATTTCTATTTTTTTTTTTTTGGTAATAAAAAGTTGACTTTTTTATTTGAATTTGTCTTTTCTTATTTATTGGTCTGAAAGGCATTTCAAAGGTATTATAATAATATATTGGTGTAATTTAATTGGTGCAACATGCTTTATGGCTCCAGTCAAAATTGGTTTTCACTCATTTGATTGGTTTGAGCCCAGAATAGCCTACAGGGGGAAAGAAAAAGCAAAAAAGCTGGATAACCACCCAAAGTGTTTGTATTTTCGTTGGAAACTGATTTCTGTTTTGTTTTTTTGTTTCTGTTTTTATTTTTAAATTAAATAAATTGCAATGAACTGAACTGGGACTTTGCTTCTTTATTTGCTTGTTTTTCGTTTAGTTAACTAAGTGATAGAATGGGTATAACTAACAGAAACCCACTCAAGCTTAAGCATAAATGGGGGATTTATTCGAAGTTCTCAGAAGGCGGGGAGCAGTTGGCAGTGCAGCTGGGAGCAGGAACTGGAGACGTGGGAGCTTTGAGAAGGACAGGTTCTCTTTTCTGCTCCTCTTTGCATATCAGCTTTATTCTTCCCTTTTTGTAGCCTGGCTTTCCCCTCCCTGATTTTCTGGCCCATCCTAGCTTATCAGATAACTTTCACATTTACATGTTCTCAGTTCTGGTTTCCAAAGGAGACTACTGACCCGATTCCTTCAACCTGGACTAGAGACAGCAGCAGAGGCTAACAGCCACGCTCCGGGCCCAGCCTCAGCTTCCTCTGCCTGCCCCCCTCCTTGGCACCTTCTACTCTTAAGGGCAGACACATCCCTACACTGATTGCTCAGAGTCTAGATCCGTGGGCCATGTTTCTCAGTGGTGCAGGCCACTGCTCTGCCTGTAAAAAAATGGCACCTGAGTCCCACTGTGCCATTGTTCCTTCTGTGCACAGACCCTTCAGGAAGCTCTTGGGAAGAGGGATGAAGAATGCCGGAGATTGAGGAGTTCCTGGAACCCAGTCACAATATCAAATGACATCATGCCCTGCCCTAGAATCAAACCTTGAGAGTCATGCTCTGTACTGAAGAGCAGTGTTAGGGGATCCATGCAAGGAAAGTCTGACTTTCCAAAGAAATGGCAACTTTCACTGTACATTCAAGTTTCCTTGAATGTAAAACTCAACATGAATGGGAAACCATAGTCCTTTCTTTACAGGGCACTATTCACTGACTTTGGACATTTTAAAGGCAATCTGCCTGGCTTGGAAGCTCTTAATTCTTGTTGTGGTCCCTGCCCTTGTTAGCAAATGGGCCTGTCAGTCATTTCCGGGGTAAGGGTCTAAGAGGAAGTCTGCTTAAAAATGAGTCCCTTTGGAAAGACATAGTTCTGCAGCCAGATAGAATAGCATGTGCGTGGCCTAGGGGCTGGACCCAATGTAACTTAGTGAGGAATATAGGGGTGGCTGGAGTGGCACAGATGACATGTTGTCAACAGATAGGTTGGTGAGGTTACTGGGGAGTGGTCACTTTTAGGGGGAAAATTGAGAACTAATATTCATTGAGCTTCTACCCGGCGCTCACATTAGTCAATGGATGTGGCAGAAACTCAACTCAGACCATGTTAAGTAATAAGAAAAACTTACTACTTTTGTTACGTCTCAGGCACAGCTGGATCCAGGGGTTCAAGTGATGTCATTGGCCTCTTTTTCACTCCCTCTTACTAAATGTGGATTTTGTTCTTAGGCAGGCTTTCTCTGCATGGCAGCAAGGTAGCTCCTGGAAGTAACAGGGTTACAGGTCCTGTTAGTGTGTGATCCTGGGGTCAGAGAGAGAATCTTAATATCCCAGTATTTATGTGCCAGGGAAGATTGTGATTGGCTTTGCTGGGATCGTGTGTTTCCCTCTGGCCCAGTCACAGAGTCCAGGTGGAGAGATGCCCTGATTGGCCAGCCTGAATCCTGTGCCCACCCCTGTGGTATACTTCAATGACAGCTCCTTCAGAATTGCACAGTTGGGGAGGGCAGCTCTCTCCGTAGAAGGGATGCAGAGCCAACAAAAAAAGTTACACCTTTTGGGCCGCATCTACAAAATAGCATTAAATCATCCCTAACTTTCAGAGTTATTGTGGAAATTAAATATAATATAAAGTACCTAATACAGGGACTGACACATAGAAGATTTTAAATTTATACAGCTAGCATTAGGAAGACACAATATAATGCTATAGAGAGGAAATATATTTGTAAAATCAGCTATAATATGAGAAAACCCAGCTGAAACTTGTTTAAACACTATAAGGGCTTTATTAGCTCATATATTTGGAATTCTAGAGAAAGGGTGGATTTCATGATCACTTGGGTCTGGTGGAAGAAACAGATAATAAACAAGTTAATAGCCCCTTTGCCCCCCAAATTACAGATTGTAATAAGTGCTATGAAGGAAGTGGATAGGGTGCAGAGATAAGAGTATTCCAGGAAGGCATCTCTGAAGAGGTGACTTCTGGGCAGAGGTCTGAAGATAAAGAACCAGCTATGTGAAGAGTGAGCATTTCAGGCAGCAGGAACAGTATGTGCAAAGGCCCTTGGGTCTTCAAAACAGAGATTTACAGGGTTAATTTCTGGTCCATTGGCATAGGACAACCATGGTCCAGGGAGTGTGGTTGTTTTGCTAAACAGATGTGGCTGCGTTCTCATGTGGACTGGCTGTAATCATTTAATACTCAGGGTACCCTTAATTACCAATGGCTGCCTCCTTTGACAGGTGGTCTCCAGACGAGACATGCCATGACGTGCATATTAAATGAGAATATGTTTCCACTGCCGAAATTCACTGCCAATTTATTGAAATTTATGGCGAGGATGTTTTTAAGCCACAGAATCATGCAGAGTTTGGGACATGGAAGTGGAGCAGTGGTGATGCTCTATAAAGATCAGAAAATTCAGACTAAGACTTCCAAGTCATAAAACCTGCCCCACGCTATCACAACTGTCGGGTTCTGGTAGGGAGTTGTGTGGAAAATTAGCAATCAAATGTAAAAGTTTTAAAATTGTGACAATCTTTTTCTACTGATGAAGAATTGACACTGC